GGGTCTCGAGTTGAAAGTGGGTGACAAAAAGTGCGGACACACAGACACGCACACACACACACACACACACGCGCACACACATACACACACAGCCTCTTCCCAATATGCGTTTTTGCGCATCGCGGCTTAGATTTCTGTTTTGACGGCGTGGTGTAGAAACACTCGAATACTGACAAGGCTCGATTTCTGTGATTGCTGAGCAGTGCCGGCGCATGAGTCATGGCACAATGTGCCACATCATCATGCACTGTTCAACACATTATGGCACGGCATGTTAGGCCCAAACAGGGCTTGGGATAACGCAGCGGAAGCATGCGGCCTGAAAAACAAAGTGACAGCAAAGTCGTTTTAGTTGAGCAATTTTCAAAAAAATTCATTTGAGGGTTTATTTGTATAAACATTACTGCTTCACCGTTTAGCCATCACTTCTCACACTGCTGTCATTTTTGTATGAGTTTCGCAGATCAGATCTGTGCCAACTTTTACAAACAGTTGTTTTTTCAACATTGATTCCGCAAAAAAGCTTGGATTTGTCCTGATTCTTTGAAATAAGTAATGAGGACAATTTCGTGTTGTACAGTTGATTTTAAATTTGCAGTAGTTTACTCCCTTCAGTTAAAAAGGACGAGAAAAGAAAGAAGAAATAGGACTACGAGGTTTTGATGAGTCGAACAATCATTACAGATTCCATTTTTTGAGATTTCAGTAGATCCTTTGCTGTGAGGAGTCGTGAGCAACATATGAGTAAGAATGGGACGGTAAAAATAAGTTGAGTTGGGGTTGCGGAATGTGGTGGCGGAGCGCGAAATTTGCTCGAGAATTTGCCATGTTTAGCAAGGAGGGACATAGAAAAGATGAAAGATCAGATGCAGGAACACGAAGTTTAAGTGTCACGTGGAGCTAGTTTTCGGCATAGTCCTGTTTTTTGCATCTTGACCATCCCATTACATATGTTACAGAGCTAACATGTAATCGCTTCAGCATAGTTTTTTTCAAAACTTATAAACGATTAATTCAGGGTAAGTTCAAGCACCAGGTTGTTGCCCTCTCGGTTCGGCCGCTCCCTCTTCTCTATCACTGTTTCGAATTAGGCAAGTCATACTGGACTCTATGAAATATGTTGTCACGAGTCAGCCGTCATAAACAGGAAACCAGGATGAGTTTTATAAATCTTGGTCGGGATCCCATATATTTCATAGCTGTGAAATAATTACTTTTTGTGAACTGCTTCCGTCAGTAAATCATCGTAGGGCGTACTTTCTACGCTCATTTGAACAGGGCAGCTGTTCGAGAAATTCGGGCGCAGGCGTCCGAGATGTTGTCATCCACAAGCCAACAGAACACGCTTCCTGGTTCAGATTTGTATTGACGAGTTCGCTTCCCCTCCTTCCCAAATTGATTGTTTTGTTTTGTTTTTTGCCCCTCGTTCTATAACTACCAGTCACAGACAGCTATCCATTAAAAATTGGCAGATCGCGCCACAGGGTTGTCAGAATATTCGTGGATTTTGCAACGGAATGCTGTGGACCACAGACGGAACAGCCGGTGCATTTGAGTGGAGCTAATGCTGGTCCGTGAAAACATCATTTGAAAAAATATTGTTTCCAAATACAATTTAAAAATGGCTTTATGGCGAAAAACGGTGACAGACGGATAGTAATGTAGTCGTATCCTCGGTGAATCACTGCAACACCTTTGCTAGTATTAGCGCACTTACGCTGGATCCCTTTATACCACCAAGTGGAGCTTCTGATGTTAGCTTTCAGTTCATCCCATTTCTCATTTACCAGCTACGATATCTCTGCTTTGGACTGTACATAAACCTATTCCCTCTTCCAAGCCGAAGTCTGGAGCAATCGGCAACGAATTCATAACGCTGTTGTTTTTCGAAGTATAAAATCAGCTAGCTCTTGAGCGGAAGGTGGGAAATCAGGATACAGCGACTTCTGAAGGATCGTTCAGCTTTGTAGAATCACTTGTGGCCGGAATTACTTTCTCAAAGCTGCATTTTCCTAGTTGATGCAATTTCTCCACGTAGGTAGACAGTAGACAGGGGAAGTTTTATATTTACAGACACCCATTCCGTCTTGTAAGGGCTCAAAAAATCTTGTAACAGAAACTTACACCAAAGATCTGCATTATTGTGCATTTTTCTCAGGGTGCATAATGCAGTTTCGTAAATGCAGTAAGTGCTTATGCACTGTCATAACGTTCGGTGCAGTCGGCGTCTGTGATACAATGAAAGGCATGACATGCGTTTTTATGCGTCTTTGCCGTGCAGCGCTGTGCTATAGCGCTGCACGGCAAAGACGCATATAGCTCTGCTACAGCACTGCTACAGCCAGCAAAAACGCATATTGTCGAGAGGCTGTCTGTGTGTGTGTTCGGAAAGCAAGTGCATTTTGTCACCCACTTTCATCTTAGCAATCAGGAAAGCTGGGAGGCTGAAACTTTGGATATATGTTCCTACCCCGTGTGTCATCCTCCC